CCAGCGATTGTAGACTGGTCATCTGCCCTCATATCCATATAAGACATCTCATGCGGCAGATCATCACTTTTCCCTTTTATGTTATTCACATGTCTGAAAAACTTCTTTGGATCATCGTCTATCAGATTCTCCATCTCAATTCTGTAATCCTTGAGTGCTGACCGTGCACTGCGTTTATATTCTCTTCTTAATTGTTTAAAATTTTCTACTGATTCAATTGTGTTGACCTTATTTTTAATCCGATGAGCTTTGCTGACTTTGTTTTTCAACTCGATTAGTGGCCTATTAAACCATATAGGTTGCTTCCTGGTGATTTTTGTTTTTAACTGGACATGAGTTTCGATTGTTGACTTTACAATTGTATAGAAATTGTCTAGTTTTAATTCTAATGAATTTTCATCGAATTCTTTATTCCAGTCAACATCAAGGAGTGACTCATTTATTAGTTTATAGTCAGCATTTATGTAGTCTCTATATGTTTGCTTGATTTCAACAGTTTTGATGACGGGTTCATTATATCGAATATTGATTGCATTGTGGTGCTTCTCAAAATTTAACAAATGATAATCACTCATGTAACACTGGAACAGCTCAACATCATTTGTCCAGATCAAGTCGAGCATACGACCATTTTGGTTGTAGCACTTGTTTATCTGGAGGAGACCAAGATCATAGCAAGTATCCAGCACTATCTTCTCTTTTTCACTGGCTGCATTGATCGCTATTGCTATGTCAGGGTCCTCATCTTCGTCAACAAACCAAACCAATTTGGGTAGATTGAAATCGCCGGAAACTACTAAAACATCATTTATACTCAACTTCGATGCGATTTCTCTCAAGGCATTCATGTTGTTTTCGTATACCTTGAGTGTTGAATCTGGTCGAATATATAATTCTACCAAATAGATGTTCCTTTTGTGGCCAACTACCTTCACCCAAATCTGTTCCGCACCGAAAAATTGGCAAGAAAAATTCTTTGGCGCAAGAAAAATTCTTTCAATTTGCTAGGGATTTTCGCTAAAAAACTTAGGAGCCAAAAAAAAACGAAATTTGGTATTCAAATTAGAAAATTTTTAGTTTTTGAAAAATAATCCCCCCTGTGAAATGTAGCTCGGAAATTACTGGTATACGCCCATTTGAACGTTTCGAATAGCTTGAACGAAGACTGTAATTTGAATAGCAAATTCAATAATAATAATAATGACTGAACCGAACAGCGTTCAATTCTCAGTTTTACTGTTGATAAATTTACTTCTAAATCGATTAAATTAGTATCACCGTTTGGTATTTTCTTTGTATAATAACACTGTGTGTCACTCAAAATCTGACAGAAACGAGACCAGTCGGTTTTACATAATTCGGGGGCGCTGATTCCAATGGCATAATTCGTTTTCCCCCATCACGTCAGGATTTTCCACAATTTTCCTCGGAAGTTTCCCGGAAAACCCAAATTGGCTGTTTATACTCTAGTAACATTTTGAATTCATTCAATATCCCAGAGGGGTGACCTATCAGGCGTTGTAGTACGGTTCAAGTATAGTAAAGCCACACAATTCGTTTTAGAAAAAATTGAGTCATTTGAAAAAAATTGATTTGGTTATTCCCCTCTGAAGTCCACATTTTGAAGTAAAATTGGTATCCTTTCAAACGCTCTGAAAATGGGTATTTGGGGGTTTTTTGGCATGAAAAGACCGAATATGACGCTTTTTCTGCTATAAAATTAGATTGGAATACACTTACCATACAAAAAGTATCCAAAATGGTCAAAAATAACCAAAAATGTCAAATTGTTGTAAGTGTATTCCAATCTAATTTTATAGCAGAAAAAGCGTCATATTCGGTCTTTTCATTCCAAAAAACCCAAAATACCTATTTTCAGAGCGTTTGAATGGATACCAATTTTACTTCAAAATGTGGACTTCAGAGGGGAATACTCGTAATAATCGTTTTTGATGTAAATTCTACTAAATTTGTTACCGTTGACGTGTTCTTGATGAATCCATGCTGACTTTCGTGGACAATGTTTTTCAAATATAGATTTTTTTTGAACGTTGTTTCTTACTCCATTTCTGTAGACTTGCCTGACAAATGCAAAAAAAAAAAAAACCAGCAATTGTTAATTGATCGCTTGCTTTTTCATTCAAATAAGTCATCTCATGTGGTAGATCTTCACTTTTCCCTCTTTTGAAATTCACGTGCTTGAAAAATTTCTTTAGATCATCATCTATCTGTTTCTCGATCTCTATTCTATAATCTCTGAGAGCTGAGCGTTCACATCGTTTATATTCCCTTCTTATAGAGAAATTTGTATCAAAAATATCATGCCAATCTACATCAAGAAACGCCTCATTTATTCGTTTATAGTCTGCATTAATAAAGTCGCGATATGTTTGTTTTGTTACAATGGTTTTTACGACTGGCTCATTATATTTGATTGCATTGTGGTGCTTCTCAAATTTCAATAAATGAAAGTCACTCATGGTACAATGAAACTGCTCAACTTCAGTTTTCCAAATCGAATCAAGAATACGACCATTTTGGTTGTAATTCTTGCTAATCTGGTGAAGTCCCAGTTCATAGCAAGTATCCAGCACTATCTTCTCTTTTTCACTGGCTGAATTGATAGTGATTGCAATGTCAGGTTCCTCATCTTCATCAACAAACCATATCAATCTGGGCAGATTGAAGTCACCGGACACAATCAAAACATCATTTGTATTCAATTTCGATGCGACTTCATTCAAGGCATACATGTTGTTTCATACACCTTGAGTGTTGAATCTAGTCGAATATATAATTCAACCAAAAAGATGTTCCTTTTCATTCCGGCTACCTTTACCCAAATTTGTTCAGCTCCGAAATGGTCACCCGTTCCGATGCAAACTGACTTCAGTTTGTTGTTGACAGCAACTAAAACTCCACCTCTGTGCACCTCTTGATGTAATTGGTCCTTTTCTGTGAGTGATGAACGGTCACATCGATAGACCTCGTACATTGGTGGAAAAACGTCGACAGAATTAATTGCATCACTTAAATGAGTTTCGCATGTAAATCGACGATTGTTGAACCATTATCTCAGCTGCAAACTCCGATATTTTTGTTCTTAAACCATTCACATTTTTTTTTATTATTATCTATTTTAAAGTGTTTGTCTTTTGACTCCACCGTAGTGAATTTTCCTTATATTTTAATGATTATTAACTATACATTGTATACAATGGATTCAATTGTTTGCTGTTGTTATGAACAATCGAATACATTGTGCCATAATAAATCCGATAAATAATAATTCTGATTGGAATTATGTGCTAGAATACTGACGGTGAGCTTGAATTTGTGTGAGTTGAATATATTCATATATATTGGCACCAAATCGTTTTCGAGGTACTTTCCAGTCTTGGAACCGATACGAATTCATATTTAAATTAGATAAGGTTTTTTTTAGATATGTTTTCGAAGAGATGGCTGGGGGTGAAAAATAGAAAGTTACTATTTGAGCCGAATTTTTAATTTATAATTTATGTACAAATAAATTAATCTTTTACTAATGAAATTTATATTTATTTTAAACCAGAAAAAACAAGTGCATCAATTGAGTGTCCTCATCTCATTACTGCTGGGTGAGCTAAGCAAAGGAGACCGTCAGAAAATTATGACCATATGTACAATTGATGTTCATAGTCGGGATGTCGTATTGAAGCTAATTCAATCCAAACTGGAAAGTGCATCTGCTTTTCAATGGCAATCGCAATTACGACATCGTTGGGATGATGATGAAAGTGATTGTTTTGCAAATATTTGTGATGCACAATTTAGATATTGCTATGAATATTTGGGAAATACGCCAAGATTGGTCATAACCCCACTTACAGATCGTTGCTACATCACATTGACACAATCATTACATCTAGTAATGGGGGGAGGTCCTGCAGGGCCCGCGGGAACAGGAAAAACAGAAACAACAAAGGATTTGGGTCGGGCACTAGGCATAATGGTTTATGTATTTAATTGCTCTGAACAAATGGATTATAAGGTTAATTATTAGTGCTAATATTATTTTTCATATTCAAATTGATTGTCGAGAATGAAACCGAGACTTTTTTGGATATTTCCTTAAAGTTTAGCATCCAAATTTAACATACCTTAATTTTTGAAGTTAGAGTGTATCGATAATGTGAAACATTACAAAATCAATGTTACACCTATGTATAACCTAAGCCAAATGGTCACAGAAATCACATCCAGGTGCTTTTTGCAAATTATATATTAAATTATATATATACTTTTTTTTTCCGCACACAGAAATAGAAACCATTAGATTTTGAGCGACTTTGGTTGATAGAGTGAAATGTGATGCCCATGGGAAAAATTCAATTTTTCGTCCAAAAGTCATACTTTACGTCACTTAAAAAATCAAAAATATGTATTGGGGGGTTTTTTGGCACGAGAAAACCGAATATGATATTAGTCTTTCGATACAAATAAATTTCGACACACTTTTCATTAAAAAAAATTCAAAAAATTTGGATTTTTGTATGACAGCCTGTATGATAACGTAATGAGCTAAAACTTTGCACAGGCTATTTTTTGGCCACAAAAAAAAACATTTTGAGAGTTTGAAGACATTTCAATGCATATTAGTACCTCCTGAATAAAATTTTGTATGGGAAGTACCCCTAATATGCAATGAAATTTCTTCAAATTTACTAAGATTATGTAGTTTGGCAAGAAAATGATATTTACACGTTTTCAATGTGATAAATTTCTACAACTACATATTTTGAGAAAAATTTCTTTCAATTTTGAATCAACAAAATGCAATAAATTCTTGTTTGAAGTAATTTGATCACCATAATTTAAGACTAGTTTTTTCTCTCAATTCTCATGCACAACTATATGGTCTATGATATATATCATCTGGTGAGACCGAATGTAAAAATGTGCTAATTTTTTCACCCAAATCTTTGTTCAATGCTATCTCGCACATGACATAATATGTCCACCAGATGTCATATCGAAAATCTAAAGTTATATTTGTGAGTCACAAATTAATCACTAAAATTCTGCATCATTAGATTTTTATTTTTTGCTTTTATTCAAAATTTCGCTAAGAGACTTTTTGGCCAATAGGCCTAAATATAAATGGTGTCACAAAATATCACAAATTAGTCACTAAATCCCTAAAAAGGTTTCAAGGCAATCGCAAAAATTTGCTAGGCTGGATAGGGGGAGCCAATAAAAGAACGCGCTGATACAGACCATTCGATTGTATATGTATATTTGAGGAGGTTTTTTTTCACTTTTTGTGTTCTATGCCGAGCCTCCCAGAGTGTGAAATATTTATACCGTTAAACTGCGTCGCATATCAAAGCGAAACAAAAATTCTCTTACTAAACAAGGCAGAACAGTAGCTAGTTATCAGCACAAACGAAACTTACACATTTTGTGTGAAAAAATCCAATGTTCTTTATACCTTTGGTAACGAAATATTGTCTCGCTTTGATATGCAACCGTTTTGAGTCACTTTTGTGTAATATTTGTCATTTTTGTGTAACATTTGCCGGCTGCCAGAGCGCAGATGCGGTAGAGTTTTGACCACTTTATTGAATAAAGAGCTCAAAATATGTTAATGTTCAGTATTTTTCCATAATGTCTCTATTTGACATGTGATACTTCTAACACAATAATTTTACACAATCATCCCGGATCAAGAAACCTTTAATTTTCATAAATATTCGTTATTATGAGAATTTCCCATGGAATGATGCTCCATGGAGAAGGAACCCATTTTTGAGTTTGGATGAAATTTTCTTTCGCAATGTGTTGCTTGAATTCTATTCTGATGATTTAAGTATTGAATTAATCAATATTGAGGTCAAGTTTTTCATCCAACACGGTTCCTAAATTCAAAATGTCATTTACATTTTTGGGAATTTCTAGACACCATGCGCTAATCCAGTTTAGATTTTTTTGCAAAAGAACACCTGTGCGAGATTCCTGAAATAAATTGGCATAGTTGTAAAAAATCGATACTCTCTATGTTCGTCTTAAACTTCAATAAAATGTCAAGTGGAATCTTATACGCATTCTCTAGCATTGTGTAAAATATTTTTTCATTTTGAATTTCAGTCATGTGGAAATATTTATAAAGGTCTCGCACAAACTGGTAGTTGGGGATGTTTTGATGGTGAGATATATTTTGCATTCAACTGTAAGCAAATTTTAATAAAAAGTTTTCACTTTGTAGAATTCAATAGAATTTCAGTAGAAGTTCTGTCTGTGGTGGCGGTTCAAGTGAAAAGTGTTCAAGATGCTATTAGAGACAAAAAGGAAATTTTTAATTTTATGGTAAAAAAATTTGTATTAAAAATAATATTACCGATAACGAAGTTCATTTTTACAGGGCGAAATGATAAAATGTGTATATACAGTGGGAATATTGTAAGTTAAATTATTTTATTCCTTTAAAATTATTATGTGGAAAGAGAGAGAGAGAGAGATGGACAACTGTTAAGTGTCGACATTGCATTATTTTTGCGCACATTATTATTAAAAATAAAAAAAGTGGATGAAATTTTTCAAACAGTAGCACTAACGATTAAGTACACCGTTGAAAATTGGAGTTTCATGGAAAATCAATTCATTTTTTGTGAAAACCTAATATGACATTAAATTAGCGATAAGACAATGACATTTTTCAAATCGAATAGTAGATTCAAAATCGAAGAATTGAAATTTCTGTCACACACGATGTGTCACAAATTCAAATGTTGACATTTTTGAGAGTCACAAATTAGTCACTAAAAGATGACACAGATGATAAATCTTTTCAAAGAAGGAATATTGTGGACAATCGCAGACGAAACGGACACCATTACGATGATTGCAGCTGTAAAATGTGTTTTGATGATTATGAGAGGAGATATGAAGATTTTCGTCAGGCTCGTCTCGCCCATCGGCCGTCGGCTCAGCGCTGGCAACGGTGGCGCCATCAATAGATCTCATGACAAACTTATCTGCGGGTTTTTCATCAAGGAAGTTAAGCAGTAGTCACTCAGGTAATTTAAATAATTACAGTATATGTTCTCTGCAAGAGGAAATGAGTGCTACACAAAAATTTAATGATGAAAAATACTTTACGCAGATAAAAATACATTCAAAAAATGTGAATGGAATTCGAACAAAAATGTCGGAGTTTGTCGCTGAGATTCTTAAATAATTAATAATAATAACTGCACCGAACAGCGTTTCTTCGCCTTGGTGTTTTATTCAAATATAAATAAATATAATATAATTATTAAATTTTTATCAAGTAAATTTGAGAGATATTGTTAATTTTTGCTCATTTTGTTCTTGCCTATTTACAAATATTCTGTTTTTATCTTGTTGGCTTCAAATAATTTTCAATTCTAAGCTTTATTGTTGGTAATTTTACTTTTAAATCAATTAAATTATTATAATTTATTGGTTCAAACTTCGTGTAATCAGTCCTTCTTATTGGTAAATCAAATAAAGGAGTAGTTCATTTATCATGTGCTGAATCATAATATTTTAAGCTGCCCGATACATAAGTTGACCTTATTTCTCCGCGTAAAATTTTGAAAATGAAAGACACTTTTGCCATCTTGCGTCTTTCCTTCAGAGTAATCATTTGCAGAAACAGTAGTCTGTGTTCGTATTTCGGCAGTCTATAATTATTCTAGGACATTCTCTTTAGTGCAAATAATAAGAATTGTTTTTGTATTGACTCTTATCTTTTGTACATATAGAGAGTTGACAGAAAGCTACATTGTATTTTTTCACCGCTCTTGATAAAAAAAAGTATTTTCAATATTAAAAATATAAGAGGTTAATAAAAATTAAAAAAAAAACACACAGATCGATTCATCGAAATACGATTGATTATGAAAAATTGAAATTAAAAAAAAGAAAAAGAAATCAAAGAAGGCAAACATTGTTGAAAAAAGTTTGTTGTTGTTGTAAATACAGCGTAAATAAACAGAAAAATGCATAGCTGTACTGAAAACAAATGTAAAGGCATGAAATTTGAGGGTCTTTTTCTAAACTGCAAGTATTGCAATGGCAAAATATTCATCGAATTGAATGTCACTTTTGGTTCTTCATAAAATGATCCATTTTATATTGCGAGTTGAAAACATACCTTCACCTCGGCCAATATAGCAATGCGCAAATCAGGCCAGAACGCTCTCCAACAGCTTTGATATTGTTTATACAGTCAAAATGGATCGAATTTAGTCATTGAAATAGGTTTTAAAGTGAATTGTAGTTCGGATAAATCATGTTTCATATTCATATTTTGGCCACACATTCATTGCTCACAATTTGCTATGCAAATGACAGTTTTCCAGCTATACGATGCGTTCAAATGGATGTATACCAAAGTGGAATCACATTAGTTCCGCTCTGAAAGTATTCTAACTTCAAATGAGATTAATTTGTGGAGGTCTGTTGTACTTTTGGTACAAAACCTTCATTTTTGGTGATGAAATTGGAATTTTTGGTCAAAAAAATGAAAATTTTGATTGGAAATGTGTTTTATTTTCATTCAAATCGTTTGAAACTTCACCAGTGGCAAGTATTTGATGATAATTACGATTACCATCAATTTTTAGTTGATGTGGCTGTGCGAAGATATTTTTATTTTAACTGAAAACGTCATTTTTCAATGAATTCACATAATGACCTACCGAGCTCTTGCGGCACCATCTAGCGTTGAGCTATCGGCATGAAACTTTACACACGTTATTTGCACACCATATGGAAAAGTATTCCGTGGTAAGAACGAACAAATTTCAACTTTTGTGTTTTGGGGGCTAGTCTACTGAGCACCGTATTAATTTAATAAAATACGTTTTAAAAATAGAAAAAAAAAACCAAAAATAAAAGTTTTTGCATAAAACAGTAGAAAAACGTGTGGTGCACAAAAATAAATTGAAGTTTTGCAACAAAAACCAATTTAAAAGGGAAATATTTTGAAAAAGTCGAGGGAAAAAAAACACTATGTCAAGTGAAATGCATTGTTGTATGGAACAAAAATGCAGTGGCCAAAAATTATGTGAAAATATACTTGACGTGTAAATTTTGTGCAGGAAAAGTGTATATTCAATGCAGAAAAGAAAAACATTCAGCATTTAATGATTTTTTAATGGAATATGACGTGAAAAAACAAAAATAGATATATATATATTTTTAAAACAAAATAGATAGAATTGAATAGAAAACATACTGAGAAAATTATTAATCTCTTTCAAAACTACTAGATTTAAGAATATAATTATTTTGTATTTATTCAAAATATTTTGAATAAACCACCAAGGCGAAGAAACGCTGTTCGGTGCAGTTATTATTATTATTAAAACAAATGGCCGACGGCAAATATACAGTTCCAAAGGACAACACACAAGCTATCGCAAATTTGCTATATTTGTTTAAGAGCGATTCTCCGTTAGGTATCTCGTGTAAAAAGTGTACAGAAAAATTAAAAAAGAACGTAAACAACAATGAGAACAACGATGAGAACATAACAAAAATCGCAAACATAATTGGCGACAAAATTATAAATGAATTGAACAATAAATGTGAAGATCGTGAGAATGCCGGTGAAACGTCAAAAACCAGCAAACAAAACCATACATTGCAGCAAACAAAAGTGTTATAGTCTATTCAATTCATGTGAGCAAATTTGATAGAGACACAACAGTTGATGACATAGTTGCAAGAATTGTGGAAACGACGAATGTTGTTCCGGATTTGTTTAGTGTGGAAAAGCTGACAATAAATCGATACAAAGGAAAAAACAAGAAGTTCGTTGCTTTCAAAATCAACACGTTAAACAAATCGATTTATGACAGAATCATCAAAGATTAAGTGTGGCTGCCAGAGTACATCGCAAAGCAATTTGTTGACAGAAAAGATGGTGGCAAAATAGGAAAACAAACAAAACCAGCAAAACCAGTAACACATCCACAAAAAACGAACAACAAAGAATAAACCAATTTCAACGAAACAATTTAAACTTTGGCATGGATATGAATGAGGGATCAATGCATCGGCGAGAGTATCAGTACCAGCAACTGCATATGAACCATCATGCACAAATGAATCATCACAATTATCAACCAAATTGCAGATGTTACAGTTGTTTCATAAATTTTCAAAACGGAAAATTACATCCACCATTGATACACAATCCACCAATAATGCACCATCCACAATACAGCCAATTTATGAACGGACAAAACAACTTCAATTATCAACAATATTAACTCAAAACGTCAATGGATTACGTTCAAGATTGCCGGAATTTCTTGCAGAAATTTTGGCCTTGAATTTCGGTATTTACAAGCTTTGTGAGACTCGATTAAATGCACACATCAATTCAAAAGATGTTTTTCCACCAAATTTCAACGTTTATCGATGCGACAGAACAACAATTACTGAAGCAAAACAAACCACAAAGAGATTCAATGGTGGCGGTGTATTGATCGCAATTGATAAGGCGATAAATTCACAAATTATGGGTTCAGGAGATTCCTATGGTGCAGAACAAGTATGGGTCAAAATCATGTGCAATATAAAAAACATTATTTTGGTTGAAGTGTATATTCGTCCGGATTCGACATATGAAGTATATGTAGACAATATGACTGCAATCAGAGAAATTGCAGCATCACTGAAGCCAGACGATGTGCTTCTCATTTCAGGAGACTATAACTTGTCAAACTTAGTTTGGTTTGTTGATGAGAGAGTCGATTCAGATATTGCTTTTGCCATCAACCCAACAAGTAGAAAAGAAATAGTTGTTCTGGAAACATTCTACGATTTGGGTTTGTATCAAGTCAATAAAAAATACAATAAAAATGGTCATATGCTGGATCTGGTTTGGACGAATGATGTAGAATGACGTGTATCATGAGCGAAGTTCACTTCTTAAATTATGAGTCTCATCATCCATCGTTTGAAATAAAACTACATGAGTATATTCACCATCAACCAAAGTCCAATCGTTTCTACTATGATTTCCGGAAAGCAGAATACGATGAAATCAACAAACAGTTTGTTGAGAAGGATTGGGACAACATTTTGAATAGACCATCTTTTGACATCAAATTGGAATCATTTTATTCGACAATCAACTCTGTCATTACATCGAACGTCAATCAAAAAGTAATAAAGTTTTCGATACATCCAAAATGGTTTAGCAAATCATTACAAAGTCAAAAAACCAAAGTAAAAAAATTACATCGAATAATGAAGAAAAACAGATCAACTGAAAATAGAAGGAATTTTAACGATGCCCGTCGCTTGTACAAACAAAATGCACGATCAACATACAGGGTGTACAAATTGCAGATGGAACATTTGATCGACGAAGATCCAAGGGAATTCTTTAATTGTGTCAACCAAAAAAAGAACAAGTGTGAAGATCCACCAGCTGAAATGAATGGTTAAGAATAATAATGAAACTTAATTTTGGTTCAAACTGGAGTGTCCCGCAGAATTATTTCAAATTAAAGTGTCCCGAATATTTGTTTCAAACTAAAATGTTCCTACAAAAAAGATTCATGTAAATTTTCCTAAATGCCATTTTCATTTGCAATAAATTTGAGGGACACTTCGATTGTAAACTTTTTTTTGAGTCCTATTCATAGAAATTTTTTCGGGGGACAGTTTGAGAAAAAGTTTTTTTTTTGGACATTTCAATCATAATTTTATGTACTATATTTATGAGAACTGAGAAAAAATCTGTTCAATAGGTATCACATAGCAAGTTTATATGAAACTCTCAGAGACTAGGTATAGAGCACTCAAACAGTGAAAAAAGTCCAGATCGTGATTTAGATGATATGGAATGCGATTTTTTTCATTCTGATTTCACCAGGTGATACAGAAAATTGAGTAGTATTTGTAAATCTAAGAAAAAAAAATTAATAATTTTTTTCATTTTTAGCAATTTTTCATACCATCTATATGGGAAGCTTGTATGAAAAACACGGAAGACCGCTGAAATGGCACTGTCGTACGTCCGTACATATTTCGTATTTGCCATTTCAGTGGTCTTCCGTGTTTTTCATACAAGCTTCCCATATAGATGGTATAAAAAATCGCGAAAAATGAAAAAAATAATTAAATTTTTTTTCTTCGATTCTCAAATACTACTCAATTTTCTGTATCACCTGGTGAAATCAGAATAAAAAAATCGCATTCCATATCATCAAAATCACGATCTGGAATTTTTTCACTGTTTGAGTGCTCTATACCGAGTCTCCGAGAGTTTCATAAAAACTTGCTATGTGATGCCTATTGAATAGTAGACGAATACCAATCGTGATTGAATCAATAGGCGTCATTTGGCTATTGCAAGGCAAGTTAATATGAAACTCTCGGAGACTCGGTATAGAGCGCAAAAAGTGAAAGAAAAAAAACATTTTTTTCCTCAATTCTCGAATACCACTAAATGCTCTACATCATTTACTGTGAAAAATTTGCTATCCACTTTCGTGGATATTTTGTTATCCAATATTCCACTTTCCTCATAGATTAATTTGTTTGTATAGTATTTTACACTATCGGGTCTTCGGTAGAGCTCGTAACATTTTTCTTTCCAGTAGGGCAATTTTATTTATTTGTTCTCTAGACAATTGGTTTAATAATTTGTTTACGAGGGCTGCTCCATATATTTCTAGAATTGGCAATATTTAGTGTTGTCCGATACAAACCATTGTCATATTCGTTTAGTTTAACATTTGGTAGCATAAACGATCTCAGAACGTTCTGTCATACGCGCGCTATTTGTATTGTTTGCAGTGACATCTAAATTGCGTCTCAACAAAAAATGAATTTTACTCGTGAAAATTTTCGTGCGATAATTTACTACGATTTGGATTGGGTGTATCTCAACAACAGTGTTTTGATCAACTTCATTTGGTCTTTGGCGATGAAGCTCCATGCAAGGCCACTGTATATCACTGGTTTACTGAATTCAATCGTGGTCGTCATTCGCTCATCGACGATTTCAAAATCGGTTGTTGTTCCAGAAACTATCGACGCTGTGAGAAACATGATAAAGCAAGATCGTCATGTCACATACCGTGAGATTGAGGCATCCTTGGGCATAAGTATGAGAAGCATACACACGATTTTGCATGAACATTTGGCCGTAAAAAAGAATTGCTCTCGTTGGATTCCACATAAATTGACCTATGACCAAAAATTAGCTAATGTGAATTGGTGCATAGAAATGCTCAACAAATATAACCGCGGTGCATCATATTCCGTCCATAACATCGTCACAGGCGACGAATCGTGGATATATGCGTATGAGCCCGAAACTAAACAGCAGTCGACAGTATGGGTCTTCCAAAGTGAAGATAATCCAACGAAAGTTGTTCGCGCTCGAAGTGTTGCGAAGCAAATGGTCGCCTGTTTTTTCGCAATTATTGGACATGTGGCAACAGTTCCACTAGAGGATCGTAGAACAGTCAATTCTGACTGGTACACCACCATTTGTTTGCCAGAAGTGTTTGGTGAATTAAGAAATAATAACCACCGTCGCAGAATAATTCTTCATCATGATAATGCGAGCTCTCACACATCTCATCACACAACTGATTATTTGACCGCTCAAAAGATCGAATTAATGGGTCATCCACCGTACAGTCCTGATTAAGCACCCGACGATTTCTTTTTGTTTCCGAGCGTAAAGAAAAAACTGCGTGGTCAATGATTTTCGACGCCAGAAGAAGCAGTAGATGCGTTCAAAACACACGTTTTGGAGATATCGGTTTCGGAGTGGCATGAATACTACGGCAAGTGGTTCGAGCGTATGCAAAAGTGTATCGACCATCATGGCGAATACTTTGAAAAACAATAAAGCCATTTTTGATAAAAAACGATTGCGTTGTATATGCTTTTCTAGAAATATATGGAGCAGCCTACGTATATGCTAAAAGTTTGATGTTTTTAATTATTTTCTTATTGAAAAAATATTTGTTAATGCAAAATATGCAGCAAGCATCTTGTTTCGTATACCTTCCAAGTGGTAATTGTAATTGATATTTCTTGTAAAATGTATTCCCAAATATTTTAATTTTGTTGTTTTGGGAATTAATTTGTTATTAATTATTAATTCAATTTTTTTTTCTCTGAATCGAACAGTATTTGTTGTTTCTTAATATTACCCAAATTTGTAATTTCCTCTCATTTATTTTTATTTATTTTCATTCTCCATTTTGTTGAATAATTACCAATTATTTCCAAAAAATAATTTAGCTCTTTTGAGGCTAAATCAGTCAATACACATTGAATTGAAAGAAGTATACTTTATTTACTTAGAAGATCGAATGCATACGATCACCATCTGCAATGAAATTATTGATTGGCTTTGGACTCATTGTGATTGATGAAAATAGTAAATGCAAATACACAGGTGACCAAACAAAAGTGCAAATTATATAGAAATTGTTTGATGCCGAATCACCGTTTATTTTCAATTGCGCAGTGTCTGACAACAACAAAAATGTGCGGGAAACAAACGAAAAATTGAAATTAGCATTATTCATGGGCGAAAAAATGGTTGAGTTATATATTAGACCGGATTCAACACTCAAGGTGTATGAAAACAACATGTATGCCTTGCAAGAAGTCGCATCGAAGTTGAATAAAAATGTTGTTTTGATTGTGTCCGGAGACTATAATCTTCCTAAATTGATTTGGTTTGTTGACATCTTCATCAGATTAACAAGAATTAGAACCAAAATGGTCGTATCCTTGATTTGATCTGGACAAATGATGTTGAGCCGTTTCAATAAACTCCTATGGTGACTGAAAAGAAACAAAGCCAATAAGATTTTAAGATTTTAGATCTAGATAAGAGTTTAAGATTTTTATCATTTCCGGTCATTCTTTATCTTTTATTATTAATTTCAGTATAACTATGAATCCAGGTAAGTAAAAAAAATCCTAAATTTATAAAAGATACTTATTTATAGCCCATTTTTCACATATTCCTGCTTTCCAAAGGATATGCGGGCAGAACCGAACTACGTATGTACTACGAAATCATAATTACGGTAGACTTAAAAAGAAAATAAATTACGGTCAGTCTGTGACTTAATGTGAAACGGGACCCTACTACTAACCAGTAAAGTACCCAAAGTGTGAATAAAAGTGTTTGATGTCTGAAAAGATTGAAAGAATAAGATTGTGAAAATTAAGGCTGCCCTGATGGAGGAGAGTACCCCACCATGTCAAAATTTGGTCGGATCAAAAAATAATGTACTACAAAGTTGTTCAGAATGACGAGAAAAATTTTTTATGACCCCTGCCCTCCAAGTCCTCTCACCTCCAGGGGGTCGGGGGTCATAAACCCTTCACCCATGATTTTACTTTTCCGCACACATAGTGTAAGGTGAAAAGTATTGTAATTGGTCAAAATTTTGAAAACTTCAGAAACATGTTTTTTACCTATTATTTGAGGTCAGAGAACACGAATTTGGCGTTTTTAAACATGGTTTTTGTTAATCTGTACGTCGTACGTTTTACGTCGTTTTTTGGTCTCGAACTTCACGCCACTTGAAAGGCTTGAAAAATCGAACAAATATTATTTTGAACTTGCTTAATAAAATACGCAACTACCACCGTGCGGAAAAGTTCGTCTTACTCCCGTCTTACTCTCGGAATCAGCATCCCAAATTACCCAAGAAATGGTATTTGTTTCGTGGGCTCTTTCCCCAAGTCTCCAAAAAATTCAGAGCCCCCCCATTAGGGTAAAATGATACAAAGTCGATTTTTCATTTTTTGGGGAGGGAATTTCGCACTCAAATGTATGGCCAACTATAACTTATTTTATCCGCACATTTCATTTATGCCATTGCCCACCCCCTCCCATCACCCCCAAGGGAGGTCCTCCTACAAAATTCACGAAAATTTTGATAAGTACCCCGAAATTGGGTCCATATCTAACCCGCAAAATCGCGGACACAGAGAGAGACACACATTATGATTTTTCATAGAGATTCATATGAAATTTTTAAAATGCTGAATTTTTCGAAAAGATTGATCGATTTTGACGATTAGGGGGTCGTTGGAAAGGTATTGAAGAATCAGAATATCGATGTTCCAGGGGTTGACGACCCCATTAAGTGCCATCTATGGCCGTAGAACTGAATTTTGATTGAGCTTTTAGGAGCATTCCAATTTCATTGTCATATTTCCATACTGACCGAAGTTAAGTTATATTTTCACCATGGAATTTTTGACATGGTGGGGTACTCTCTTAATACCCCCTTATTTTCACAAACTTATTTTTTCGACACTTTACATCGATCTGTATAAATGAAATTGAGATTTTTTGTGACACTTTGGGTACTTTACTGGTCTCCCACGTTTTACATTAGGCCCTACGTTAGGGTGTAGTAGAAATATGAAAATATTGAAAAACAAAAACGGCGAGGGTCATTACCTTGGCTGTGGGACCCTCCGAACTCGTATCAGAGTATTTTGTAAATATAAAATAAACTGTGTTGTCACAGCTCACCCGCTCGGTTACCAAAAATTGGATTTTTATGTAAAATGTAAAGAAGTGGATCTTGAAACTATACTTTTCAATATTGCGTGTGTCGAGTGAGAACTTTATTCCGAATGTGAACCAATACATACGCGAGCATGTTTAGCATGTCGCTTGTTTACTTTTTCATTGGTTTGTCATTAATGCGTCGCATAAAATAAGTAAATGTATTCAGGGTTGTATAATACTTATTATCCAATTCCTTTCAGGACTACATTTTTAAAATGATTTGCATCTATTTATTTTTTCAATGTTGAAATAAATATATTTAATTTTTTTGAATGGCTGGAATGTTGAAAATTAATTAAGTAAAAATTGTAATACAAACGGTCCGTTTTTTCGCTTTTCCGGTTTGAAAACTCCCGATCGATCTTTTACGCAAAAAAAATTGGCTGGGCATGTTACCCCTATATGTGCTTGTAACACCCAGAATACTTTGGACCAGATTGGATCCACCTGCTCCTCAAGATTCGCTTCCAGCTCATGTCATCAAAAAACTCCCGAGTTGTCATTTTGTTTGGGATGTCATACTCCATTCGTGCTTCGAAAACTTCAACTGAACTCACCGGAAAAGCGTAAAAGATCGATCGGGAGCTTTTTGACTAGGGGGTAGACACGTGGAATAGGATTAGACTTTTTAGTGTAAAAGTTCGAGAAATTAAAGTGGAATAGAGAATTCAGTAGCTGGATTCACATGGATTCACTAATCCTGTGTATGGAATAGCGAAAATGGGTTAATTCAAAGTTTTTGTAATCGATAGTACAGAATTTGATAAAAGCATTGAACTTGTTTTGAGATAGTAATTTGTTCTTTTTTGAAATATTTTTTAGTTCAAAAGTCGATTACAAATTTACAAAACAATAGATACACTTTCTCAAAATTTTATTGATGAAAAAAATAATTTTAATTATCAATAACAAAATGTCATACTCCAGTATCGATAAATAAGTTTTCAACAAAGTGAATAGCGGCGAAATGTGAGATCACATTTGACAATGAAATGACGGATTGGTGGAATAGTAGGATTAGTGTTTTTATATTGGAATCATGGTTTAATCGTTTGTGTCTCCCCCCTAGCTTTTTGATGACATGAGCTGGAAGCGAATCTTCAGGAGCAGGTGGACCCAACCTGGTCCAAATGTTCTGGGTGTACCATGAGGGTAGTGAAAATAGAGAAAAATCGATTGGTAGTTTTTCAAACCGGAAAAGCGAGAAAAATAGACCGTTTGTATTATATTTTATTTCAACAGTGACAAAATAAATAGATGCAATTCATTTTGAATAAAGAGGCTTACGTACGCAAGTCAACTTTTCCGCATGGAACCGAAATTTTGGGAATAAACTGAAATCATGG